TATAGTGCCTCGTGGTGTAGGGCAGCGGCTGTTTTATGACTAAAAGTTTTTAAAGACCTTGAATGTGCTTTCAATGTTCTGAATAAGACTTCAGAGCTACCTACTAACCTAGTCTTGAAAGTCGATATTTACAGAACAAAACTGCGACATCGTCATAAATGTAGATTAATGTAATGTTGCGGCCGCTTCCGTGCCTGGCACTGGAATCGAATCCGGCAACAATAACCACAATGCCATAGAATACTAACTTTTACCGCACAATGCCGTTCATTGTACAAAGCTTAAGAATTTTGAAATCGTATGACATTTTTATGTGTAGTCAACAGCACATCGGACTATACATGTTTGTTGCAAAATAACCTGTATTACGACGAGATAAGATCGCTTGTTCCCAACGAGTCACAACACCCCTATTCGTTAACCTTTATTTACTTACTCTAACCTTTAGATTACTTCATTATTTTGATTTTTTAAATGTATGTCCATACTTGTACCCTCTTTAACGAGGCTCACGAGTACCCTCATTCATGTGGCAGGAGATTATATCGGCCGACATTTTATTATGACATAAAAATAAGTTTAACTATTAATATCTACCTTTGTTTTTTTTTGTCACTGAGAGCTGGGATTTTACTGGCAGTTGTCAGTGATAAGGTTGCTTTGTAAAAAATATTGAATTATTATTTTAAGGCACATAAAATTAAATACTATTGCATCTGCTCTGCATCATACTCGTAAATATGTTGTTAAATAACTGCCATTTTCTGGAGAAAAAAATAGTTTCTTTCAATCAGCTCATTGCAGTGTGCAAAATAAATCTAGTGTAAAATGACAATCCACCATCATAAACCAATTGCAAATCGTTCATAAAACGAAGTAAAATGAGATTACTTTTATAAAAAAAAAACATCCTGTAACCTGTAAATATGCCAGAGTTTTCTACTTCAGTGTGCTTACCATGAGTTTACGTTAGGTGTGCTCGCTAGCGACTGCGTAAAAAAATGACATTACTTGTATGACATATTGTTCAGCGCCCCTAGCGGCTACTTTCAAAAAACAAAATCTTCATAGAGATTTTTGACGTACTCGCTAGCGAGCACACTTATTGTAAACTCATGGTAGGTACACTGTTTGTTTATTCAATTACTTATTGTACCTACGCATAAAAGCACACAAACTCGTCAAATAGAAAGCGTGGGCAAAAAGAAAGTAGCATCTCTCGAGATGCCTACTTAATTAATTAGGTGTTTTACTTCTTGAGCCTGAAAAATTACGTAGCTTTGTATTTTAAAATACTTGGCGCTCTAGTAAAAGCAAACGAATCCTTGAAAATGATATCTCTAAGTTAATTGCAGCATTTCTTTTTAGCTCTTGTCTTAAAGCAACTCTAGGTAAAGCATTTTATTTAGATTTTTAACCCACTAAAATTATTATTAAATTAATTAAACATAGTAGGTACTTATGCCTAATTCGTGTTTTTCGTATTAATAAAAACTGGTGATTCTGGAAACCAATAAGACTGAGAAACATTGACACGATTTACGCGCTTAATTTATAAAATGTGTTTTTCACGGTATAATCTTGAGATCATCGAGACCAGTTTTATGTCATATTTTATTTTATTCACAAAATTGCCGAAATTTATTAGAACGGGTAACTAAATAAGTGCCTTTGCTATGACTTAAATTAAAGTCTGTATTTCTCTTTTTCTATTTAGCTTATGAAGGCTTAGCTTTTAGGTGTACTGTAACACCTAAAAAGCTCTCAAGTTAGCATGCAATCATTTAACGCCATAAACCAGCTAACACTAAAACTTCTAACACAGGTTTAAAAATCTATATTCTTTTCCTATTCTCATAAACACTGTAATTTCTTACCTTCATTGGGCGCTAGTTAGAGTTAGCACTGCGAGCATTTCCGTGGGTAGGGTTACCAGGCGTCTGAATAAAGCCGGACATAGGTAGGCTTTAAGATCGAGTGTCCGGCCAAATTAAACGGTGGCCGGCCTGTCTGGCTTTTGATAGGTTTTACATTAACCATTCACTCACGCACGATTCATTAGCATTTAATAGTTTTATGGTAAATGATAGAAAAGCCTAGTTTTACGTAAATAAAGACGGAAAATCACTACATAGTATTAAACATAGTCGCATTCCGCTGTCTGTCCATATGTATGCTTAGATTTTTAAAACTACGCAATGTAATTTGATGTATTTTTTTTAATAGAGTGATTCAAGAGGAAAGTTTATAAATGTATACTTAGCACCCGTGCGAAGTCCGGGCAGGTCGCTAGTACTTATAATTTAGGGTGTCCTGGCATTTTTAGCCAAATGTCCGGTCAAACTGGCTGGTCTGTCCGGCTGTTAGGTTAGACGACGTGGCACCCCTATCCGTGGGCCGTATCAAGGCGTTGGCAATTTTGCTGCAAGCAACAGGTATCGCAAATTATGTGGTTTACGTCCCCGGTGCTGCCAGTAGCCACTCGATCATTTAATTTACGTGCATTCGCCAAGAAGTCGGGTTTTCATGCATACTACCTACTAAACACTCACTGAATAAGTGCCTTGGCAGAGCTATGCAGTCAAATTGATATTGAGTGACCTTTTTTAGTAACATTTTTTATTGTTCGTTCGTTCGTTTCAGCCTCAGATCAATGATCTGAGGTTTCAGCCAAATGACGTCCACTGCTGGATAAAGGCCTCCTCCAAGGTTTTCCACAATGCACGGTCCTGCGCTGCCCGCATCCAGGCTCTTCCCGCGACCTTTACCAGATCGTCGGTTCACCTAGTAGGAGGCTTGCCCACGCTACGTCTTCCAGCCCGTGGTCGCCACTCGAGAACTTTTCTGCCCCAACGGCCATCATCGTCTCTACGAGCTATGTGCCCCGCTCACTGCCACTTGATTTTAGCAATTCTGTGAGCTTTTAATTTTTTATTGTAATTTGAGTTTGTGTCTCTATCTTAATGTTGTTGTTAAATAAATGATTTTTCTTTATCTTTCTACTAACTCTAGGACAGCGTAAAGTTAAATGCAGCATCTTGTTAAATAGGTATTTGCAAAAAATATGTAACAAGTCTGATGTTGACGACTAAACCTTTGTATCAGTTCAGTTCAGTTGCCATAGTTTGGTGTATTAAAGTTGAAAAAAAAAAATAACTAGATATTTTTACTTTTAAAACTTCGGTGTGTAGTTATGATGATAAAGTAAAACACTAATGGAATGTAAATGAAAGAAGAAAATAATGTAGGTCTAACATAATTTCCTGTAAAATGCTGAAAAATCCAGCAGAAATATTTTGAAAAACCTTGCGGAAACAATTTATTCAGTACACCACTAGTTTACTGCTCCATTGGGTTCCTAATGACCTGAGTTCGGACCGTTTTATTGCCAGCACGTTATAGCCTTTATTCCTAAGCCAATAAGACACATCTCCGGAGCAGGTGTTGGGCATGTAGATATGATTTTATGGCAGGAATTCTGGGAAAATTATGGGTAACCTGGGAATTTTCGGTTTAATACTAGTGTACCTGAAAATGTCTAGACATGTAGCCAATATATGACAAGTACCATAGAGGTCAATGAAGGCATTTTAGGAAGATAGGAATGATTGTGTTTAGAAGGCTTGTATTGTTTTAAGAGAAGTTAGATCTTCGACAACCAACTATCCAAGTACTTATTATGATATGATTAAGTATCGAAACGGGAATTTTACAAGAAACTTAATAATATCGTTGTTCGTGACTAGCTTCGTGGAAGCTAACGTCTACACGTACTCAGGGGAATTTGAATAAAGTATAAAAGTTAAAAATTTGCATTAAAAGTTTAACCTCCGGTGGAGGTTGTATTCTGCGCCGCAAAGATAAAGTGCAGATATTTTAGAATAGAAACAAAAAACTTATTGGCCAGTAGAATTAGATTTTAATGGCCTATTAGCTGTAATTTTAGTTGAAGCAACAACCTAACTAACTATAAGCCCTTTTATTAATTCGACCAATAATTTCACAGTTAATTAAAGCTAAGCAACTCTTCTTTATGAGAACGACTATCGTATAAGTACAAGAAAGAGAAGATACTACAGAAGGAAATTCACAAGCTATCAACATTGTCGGAGCCGTTTCATACAATACCGTCACTTTTGAAAAAAAAAAACATTTTGTTTTTATTATCTTCATCATCATCATCACCAGGTCATTTAGTTTCCAATACACAATATACGATACTCTCTAATTAACCAGAGGCAAATCAAGGATTTGGCTTCACGACATCCACGGGAAGAGTGGAATTGTTGATTGTTTGTCTACGTTCTGAATACGGAAATTGTCGCAAACATTTTCCCGTAACAAGACATGTATTAAGGCATATGATAGGGCAGTCCAACGTAGCTCTCTTATTGCGGAGGAATTTCTGGTAGTCACCGTTGCCTAAATTGTAAAATGAAAATACTTTTTTTATTTTACATCATAAGAATATTCTAATAGGGAGAGAAGCCTAGCGCGTGGACGCCTAACTGACGAATGTATCGGCTGTCAGTAAGCCCAGGGAAAGAATATTATTTCCAACAGGTTATTTAAGTGTCCAATGTCCATTGCAAAAGTATGACACTCTAATTGATCAGAAGCAAATCAAGGTTTTGGCTTCATGACATTTTTTTTTTTTTTTTTTTTTTTATCCACAACGAGGAAGCTCTTGACCTGTATCTCACCTGATGGTAAGTAATGATCAGGCCGAAGGTGGAAGCGAGCTTCACCCGGAATCCTCAACCACGGAGGAACTGGCTATCTTACTCTAACTGCCGAATTGTTGTTATGGCGACAGACTTAGGTAAGATGGTGGTAGCTAGCCAGGCGGACTTAGAATAAGCCCTACCACCAACATCCACGGAAAGAGGGGAATCTGTTGATTGATTAATACCTAAGTACTCGTAGGTACGTCTTGAATCCGGAAATTGTATAATGAAAGATACTTTGTTGAATCAGCAAGTTTATTTACATCAAAAAAAGATTTAGAAGCTGTCTACATTAGCCAGGGCGGGCACCAAAGCCTCGTAAATCTCGATGCCCCTAAGGTACGTCCCCGCGTGCAAATTTTCGTCGTGCGCGTGCAGCATTGGGGTCGTGCGCGCCATGGGAGAGAATCCTAGTGCACGGACGCCTAACTGACGAATGTACCGGCTGTCAGTCCCGCCAGGAAACGTTCGCGGCTTCAGAGAGATGTTCCTGGAATTGACCACGATTATTTTTATTCACACAAGGTGGACTGACGACCTCATAAAGGCAGCAGGAAAGCGCTGGATGCAGGCCGCTACCAACCGGCTATTGTGGAAATCATTGGGGGAGGCCTATGTTGAGCAGTGGACGTCCTATGGCTGAAATGATGATGATGATGATGAAGGGGCTGATCTAGAAATCATTAGGGCATCAGCAGTAGACGTCATGTGGCTGAAATGATGATGACGATTTTCAGTACGCTCACATTGGCCAAGCTATCGGTGGCACATTTTCTACTAATTGACACGCTCATGTCCTCAATATTAGTGACGCAGTATGATAAAGTCAGTTATAATGTAGGTATTGATAGAGCTTTGCTGAAATAATTTTGCGATGAATATTTCATGTATTTTTTACGATGAAGCTTTTTGCAACGGAAGTAACAACTACCTACTTATTTGCCATACAAGTAGTTCATTGCTCTACCAAAACAAATAAAGATGTTTTACTGCCATCTTGGTTTGCATATCGTGATTGTTTCGATTAGGTTCAATAAAATCGACATCGTAATTCAATTGTCATCGCATGATCGCGTTACGTCGACATGCCATCGTTACCATTCTATTAAACGTCGAAATATGCATGAACGCCAAATAAAATGGCAGCAATGTTTTAACGGAAACATCCAATTCGTTTATTTGATTAAACAACCACTAGCTCAATCGGCAAATATGGCTGCAGTGCGAAACACTATGTATCGTTTTTAGTTTTCAGTTCAGTGAGAACAGAATGCAAAACGTTTGTGATTTTGCAACGGTTGTACAAACAAACGACAGGTTTTATAAAAATAAGTTTCTTTTTAATTATTAGTATCTGACTCTTGGTCCGCACCTACTCTTGGTAGCTAATTTTTTTTTACTATAACATAATATGTTGCTCTCCACGCTGAGCTCATTTTCCGATATAAAATACTTAAGTTATTTTTTAACTCTTGTGTTTAATAAACTCTTGTGAACTTGTCTCAAAAAATTCGACTTGAGATTTTCGTAAAACCTGCTTATCTGGACAGGAACCACTGCGTCCTGCACTGTCTCTCATTTAGGACAAACGCTCAAATGAAAATTTTAAGCACCGCAAAGAACCCAACCCCCAAGGGTCGGTTAGAAAATCTTCTATGATGTCTACTCTTCAAAAGTACCTGACCTAGCTTTATGAAACAAAACATACTGCGATACAGGTAGGTGCTTACTCGTACGGGTCGTACGTGTACAGGCGATAGGACATCAAGCTCAAGTAAACGTCGTGTTTTGAGTCCCTTTGCTTTCAGTTTCCTTTCTAAATACCAGATAATAATACTAAAAAGTACTCACAGTTTCTCAGCAGCCTCCTTGAAGGCCAGCCAGAAGGGGTTGGTGTTGTCCAGAGGAGTGGACGCCACGTAGCAATCCTTCTGAGCGAAGGAATACGTGACGTCAGCACCCGCTTCGGCGCACCAGCGTTTGATCTGGCAAGGAAAAATGATTAGGCTAGATGACAACATTTCAATTATTTGTCCGTCATACAGATAAATTAGAAAGTATTAGAATCTTAATCTTTATTTTCTTACATAATGAAAACTAACATATTTAACATTTCTTACATAATTAAATTAACAGTGCCACATCGAGTTGAAATGTCGCGTGGCGTCACTTTTGAGTAGATTTTTGACTCAAAAGTGACGTCACGCAATATTTCAACTCAATATAATAGGTACTGTAATGATACGAATATACATACATATAATGGAAAAATACGTGCCCAATATTTTTTTATTATCTGTCTGACGGACTAAATAGAATTTCGATTTCATTACCCAGTCATCATCCTAATTCCTACTACATAATTTTATCACGTAAGATGATGCATTTTAACATTCAGTATTGCTGTCAGATCAAAAATGCAGGCGTAGGTACTTCTGGTATTATAAATTGTGCCAAAATTTGCATATGTATTACGTTTTGACGTGTTGTTTAACATATGCAGAGAATTTATGAAAAATGCGGGTAGCTACAAGTTACAACACGAATAACGTACCTGTCATACTTTTATTTGCATAAGTTCAGACTGAGTGAAACTTCCCCCATGGATTTTCTATATTTTACCATTTTGCATGAATACTAGCTAATTTTTTTTATGCTAGACATGGCAGGTCTTTGACCGCAATCGCACCTGGTGTTAAGTGAGATGCAGTCTAGGATGGTACATATCTGCCCTGTAAATTAAATCTGTAGGTCAAATCCTCCCTTTTGTCTCTGTTAAATAGGGAAGTTGGATACACCAGTTAATTGACTATTTTGGATGAGCTGTCAAATTGTGACACACGGAATGTCGGACTATGACGTCACCAATTCGCGATCTAGATTAAAGTGTATTTTGTAAAGAAGTTGTGTCTTGTAATTATTGCATATTGATGTCGTTCTCCTGTATTGGAAACTAGTTCAAGTGGTTTACTTTATGCCTTGTTATTATTACACTCTGTAAAACCTTGGTTTTCCTAAATAAATAAACTAAATGACCCGATGATGAATAATGATGATGATAAGCTAATGAGGGCTATCGTTTTTATACTTAACAGTTGGCACCCCTGGCGATTGACAGGACCTTACTCTACAGTGGCGCCATCTTGATGAGTGCAAATGCGATAGTCCTCCTACCACTTTAGCGCTCACAAGTTGGCGCCACTGCTGCACTGTCTTCGCTACTAGCAAGTGACAGGACGTTACTTTACAGTGGCGCTAACTGGTGAGCGCTAAAACGATAGCCGCCCTCATTACCATGTCCTCGAACTGCTGGTGGTCCACCGACAGCGCCAGACGGATGTCGAAGCAGACCGACAGCTTCTCCGGTATGATGTTGTCGTGGATACCGCCCTGTTGGAGAATAAATGATGTGCTTGTTATAGAACGAAGCTCAAACTCGATTTAATTTCAAGCACAGAACCTTTGAAATGTACTTATTGTAGAACGAAGGTCAAAACTCCATTTAATTTAAGCAAAAATTGAGCCTTTTGATTGGTTGAATTTCAATAACTACATAGGTAAATAAGTTTTTTTGGGTTAGTAGTAGTTTCGCACGATTTTCCTTCGCACAAAAACGTCCCCTATCAATAATATTTTAACGCCTACTAAAAAAATTTTTTTTGAAAGGGTACGTTTCGCACATTCGTGCCAAGGAAAATCGTGCGAAACTACTACTAACCCAAATCTAATACCAAAATTGATAGAAATTAGGTTCGTCTAAATCTAAAGCGAAAGACTTTTTTTAATGCATACCTTCTTGTTATTTTAATAGATTCAGATTTTTTTTATGAAAATTCTATTTTTAAAATGTTTTGTAGTTGAAGGTACTTTACATTCTTCTGAAACTCCAGGGAATCGTACCTAGAGACTCTTGTCGAGAATGTCTCAAATACAAAGATAAATAAAGTCGCACTGACATGAAGCTGGGTGAGGTTGACAGAAGTGACGTCGCCGATGGTCAGGCTGGGGTCGTCTTCCAGCTTCTTCTTGGACTCCCCGCGCAGGTCCATGAACTTGTCAATGATGTAGCGGATCTGGAAAGATAAGCGCCATTGAGCATAGATAGATAGATATAACACACTGTATTCAGGGGCGTAGCGACTAAGGGGCAAGGCGGGGCAGTGCTCCGGGGCCCCCAAGCTCAGATACGGGGGCCCCGTATGATACGGGCCGTATCCTTACCAGAAAATCTCAATTGAACTGAACTTTGAAAACTCCCATTTTCAATATAAATAGAGAGAAATTCGAAAGTTGTATCAAGAGTAAGTAAGCTTAATGTCAGTAAACTTGATAAAACCTAACCAGTTTAGATTGCAGTGGTGCCCCATTTTTTTATTTGCCCCAGGGCTCTTAATTACCTAGCTACGCCACTGACTGTAATTGTACACCACGCAAGAAAATATATTGTTTTAAACTTTCATGGTCACAAACATAATAATTTATTATTGACGGGATTGCTACTATGTACCTTAATTTCAAGTCTCCGATATTTCGGCACTGTTGCAAGCGCCATGAAATTAAGCTACACGGTAACATAACAATCCCGTCAATAATAATCACACAATATAAGAAAAGAAAAAGCAAGAAATATACAAAAGGTACGGCACAATTTAGGCGGTCTTGTCGCTATAAAGCGATCTCTTCCAGACAAGCTGCAAATATTATAAATGTAAAAGTTTGTAAAGATGCATGGATGATGGATGTTTGTTCCTTATTCAAACTTAAACTACTGGACCGATTTAGATGAAAATTGTTTAGGTATAAAGATTATTTTTGAGACCAAATTTGGTTTTTAACATTGGATAGTTTTATTCCGGTTTTGCTTATGTATGGTAATGCTTTCTATGGCAGATTGACAGACCGAAACTCACGCGGGCGATGCCGCGGGCAAAAGCTAGTATAGGAAGTTTCAAAATAATAAAAACACATACATTAATCGATATTTATGATTATTATGCACATTGGAAGCGTAAAAAGCACGAACAATATTTTTTTAATGTAGACAAAAAAGATTTGTCAGAAGTGGGATTCGAACCCACGCCCACAGAAGTGGACTGCGACCTGAACGCAGCGCCTTAGACCGCTCGGCCATCCTGACATGATGAAGGCGGTCGAAATTACTCTTTATTATCGCCAATCTAATATGAACAAAATATTAATGATCTATCAACATTATTAATTTAATCCCAAAATCTATATAAAAGAAAGTCGTGTTAGTTACTCCACTTATAACTCAAGAACGGCTGAACCGATTTAGCTGAAAATTGTCAGGGAGGTAGTTTAGAGCCAGGAGAAGGACATAGGATACTTTTTATCCCGTTATTTATTGCCATTAAGGCGGAACAAAGTTCGCCGGGTCAGCTAGTAAATAATAATTATTACATACAATATTTAGTAATAATGTAACCATGAAATTGGTATTGCGTATGCATTTATAATCTACTATATAAAAATAAGTCGGGTTTTCCTTCCTGATGCTGTAACTCCAGAACGCACGAACCGATTTCCACGGTTTTGCATTCGTTGGAAAGGTCTCGGGTTCCGTGAGGTTTATAGCAAAGCAAATTTAGGAAAATTTAACAAACGAAATTCCACGCGGGCGAAGCCGCGGGCGGAAAGCTAGTAGACAATAAAATTAGATTGACATAATACTTTACCATGTAACTTTAAAGCTGGGTTGCATCACTTTAACAAACGTTAAAAATCTATCAACTTCCATACAAAAAACACCTGTTATCGTTACAGTTACGGTTAAAATTAGGTGGTGCAACTGAGTCTAGTATAAAAGTTAGGACTGGTTTAATCAAAGGTGCGGCACAAAACGTGCTGTTTGTTTTTTACCCGATTTAAAAAAGAAGTTTCTCAATTCTTCTGTATGGCTAAGTTGCATCAGCTCACTTTAACCATGACCAGATTTTTGACGTTTGTTAAAGTTAAAGTAAGATGGTGCAACCCAGCGTCAGAATTTATTATTTGTTCACTGACAGATATCAAGGCAGATTAACAAAGATTAATTTAATACCATTAAATAGTAAAAAGAAAATAAAAGACAGTTTTATAACTAATTTCGTTAAGTATTTAGTCACCTAAACTAAAAGTCTTGTTATCCAGTACTTGTTTTAAACACAACTGTAAAATTTCCAATTCTGTTCATTGCGGCGATTCTGGCAGTTTTACGACTCGCGAAAATTATTCGCCGACCGTTAATTAAGAATTGTATAAATGTAGCACAATAAAAAGTCGAATGGAGATGAGTTTTTAAGGGTATTCGTTATGCATGAGCATGTGAGGTATGCAGTTACTCTGAAAGTTATTATGTGAGTAAAAGTTGTAAATGAATTATTTTTTTAAATTATAATAAAGTATAACAAGTGATCCCTTCATTTAGATCAGGGATGTTACGGATATCCGTAACTGAAACTATCGGATATCCGAAATAAAAAAAAAATAAAAAAAATATCCGTAACCGAAACCGATTCAGAAGTTACGGATAATCTGAAATTATTTACTAACCATAACCGTAACCGAAACCGGTATAATATTATTCTGATATCCGTAACTGTATTCATAACCGAAACTTCATATCCATAACATCCCTGATCTAGATAGATATTGAGAGGCACTCATTATTGCATTACTTACACAAAACTACTGCAGAATACCAATGGCCGTAAACGTCCTCTCGAGTAAATTATGGCCTCATACTGAGCAGAGACCTATTTGGCACTATGTATTTTTCTACTATTGTTTTTTTTTTGGAACCAAAAATATTTTTTCTTTCTTTCTAAAAACTGACAGTTCCTAATATAAAAAGTTTGAAAGGCACAATTTGGCAAAGAGTACCTGCACATTTCCATGCAGATATTAGGAGGTCTTATCGATAGGAAGTGATCACAAAATTCACTAATTAATTCAGTTATCTGTTTTTATTATAATACACATTTTCGAGCCATATGATTTGATTGTCATAGCCATAGATCCACCAATGGGACAATGAAACTATATCCAATACGCAAATTAGCACTAAACTTAAGCTTATGTAATTAATGCATTCTGTAAGTGCCGAGATAACGCACGCGGTCGATTGCGGGATCTATACAACCATAACAAGCTTAATATAATAATATGTATGTGGTTTGCAGTAATACATAATTATACAGTGAGTTTGGGATGGGGCTAGGGATAATTTAAGGCGATGTTATTATGTCAATTTTATCGACAAAAATGCCCCCAAAAACGTGCCCGTCAAAACTGATGTTTTTGACAAAAACTAAAATTCATTATTTTTTTTTAAGTTTTTTGGTCATTATTTTTCATTTTTGTGTTTTTTTAATGACACATCATTATTGGCTTACAAATGCATTTTTTTATATATCTGTAAGACGGGCACATAAGAAATACAAACAATTTAAAGGTAGAGTCACATAATAAATTAAGCCCCCCCCCCATTCCAAGACGAGGGAGGTGGTCCCACATATGGGGGCATTTTTGTCGATGAAAATGACATCACAACATCGCCTTAAATTTTCGCTAGCCCTATCCCAAACACACTGTATACGAGTACGTAATTCTATTTTATATCTCCCCCTTATTAATAAACAGTTACATCCGGGATGAACACTGGATTAAAATGTCATTTCCATACTAGATAACAATTTAAACCGGAGTTTAACTAAGGTGTAATTTTTATTAATAAGGGGGTCTGTGTTTTGCTGTATAATGTTGTTGGTAAATCTTAAACAATAAATAAATAATCTGAATCCCATCAAAAATAATACTTGTCAAAAAAACCAAGTCTCGCAACTCAGTTGTTCTACGGTAAAAAGTTGTGAGATCCATGTAATACCAAGTCCAGGCCAGGAAATCTTTAACGTTTTACATAAATATATTGACTTGGCCATCGCATGAAAACACGTGTAAATTAAATTATTTAGTGCGATGGCCAAGTCAATAATTTATGTAAAACGTTAAAGATTTCCTGGGCACTACCGTGCCCCCAAATATTTTAGTTTTTCCTTGATTCATACACCAAACACTACTTATATTCCAAATTTGAAGCTTCTAGGTCTGCTAGAAGTATGAACTTTTTTATACGCAATATCTCCGCCGATTATGAACCAATTTGAACGATTATTTTTTTGTTGAATAGGTATTATGAAAGGGTGGTTTCATGCGAATTTGAAGAAAATATTTCACCCCCAAGGGTGAAAAATTGGGGATGAACTTTTTTATAATATACATTAAGAATATGGTCTCAATGTACTGCCTACCTTCAGTGGTAACATCAAGGTAATAATTAGTTAACTAAAAAGCAAGAAATAAGTAAAATTTTATAAAAAAAAATAAAACCGACTCCAAAAAACCTACACTAAAAAGTAGAAAAATAATTACTAATTACCTACTTATTTATTAGGACGAATTATTAATATTTATGTGGGTATACCATGATTGATACTTTTGGAGTCGGTGCAGGCAAACTTTACATGTTTCATAATCTTGGCTTTATAGGTTTTTTGGAGTCGGTTTTATTTTTTTTAATAATTCTTTTTATTATTATTGACTTCGAAAAGAAGTTTTGGAATTGGTGGGTATTTTTAGCTAGCAAATTGAAAATAAATATTAAATGAAATAATGATTTTTATGCTTCCTATTGTGCATGAAAATGTTAATAAGCTGTAAGCTGCTGTGCGCATGTGACAGCGTGTCAGCATCAGACGTGAGCCGGATTATTGTTGAGGTTAGAGGATTTAGCTCTGAAATGTTGATGAGCCATTTTATTTAGAAATCTAAACATGCATTTTTATTTTTTAGTGTTACATAATTTTTGAAAACGTATACGCAACGTACAAGCACATGTCATGTGTTAGTTTTAAATTAAATAAGTAAATATGTATAGGTAGTAAGTAGAGTCAACTTGTTTGATCTGTCTAATATTATAATCTCAAAAGTTTACTCAAAACTAGTGAACTGATTTTGATCAAGCTTTACACTGCTATTATATAAAACTCATACTACATAGGAATAGTCAATTTAC